CTCAGTGGCTCCCTCTTCAACTCCTCCTCTTGTTTATTTAAATGGTCCCATATCTGTGTTTGTGCTTCCTTTTTCTGCCTTGCTTTCTCTAAATCATCTTCTCCTTTGTCTCTTCGTGTTCTCTCTTTCTCTCTTACTCTCTCTCTCTCTCTCTCTCTCTCTCTCTCTCTCTCTCTCCTTCTCTCTCACTCTCTCTTTCTCAGTAGGGGTGGGAGGAGTGGGGAAGGTGGCAGAGAGATAAGATTCTCCAATATTTAATTTTTATGGAAATCATATCCTAGAAACCCCCAAGGGGCTGAAAATTGTTCTGTGTTTTCAGAATCCAGTGATGTCGCTGAAGTGGTTATGTAGTAAATAAAACCACTTTACTGTCTGCAGCTCTCCCATGCTCTGCAAACACCCAGAAACCTGACAATTTAATCCACTCAAGGAAGCAAAAAGGTTCGGGTCACTGGTGGGGGCAGCCTGCCCCAGCCCTGGGATACAGGACTGGGAGGCATCAACGTGGGCAGCAGCAATACCGCCAGGGAGGGAGACAGCATCAGCGCCCTGAGCAGAGCTACCATGTTGCTGAAATTTTCTCCGAACAGTAATCCCACGAGATCCAAGCCCCCTGGGGTCCCTGGTGTTGGGGGCGGGTGTTGCTTAGATGCGCCAGCTTTTTCCTCCTCCCTCATGCCCAGGGCGAAATGACCAACAAAAATCTCATGCCCAAGTCCATTGCCAGTAATCTGGGAGGGGAGTTGGGACTGTAAAGGATATTCATTTCTTCATTTGTTCATTGGTTTGTCCATCAAACAGTCATTAAGCACCCACCATGTTCTAGAGAATGCAGCAAAGCTCACACACACACACACACACACAAATCCCTACTCACACCCTCGGGGAAGGAAGCAAATGATAAGCAGGTCAGCAAGTAAAACGGAGCAGATGTTGAATGCCGGCAAGCTACGTGGAGGAAAATGAAGCCAGAATCTTCAGTGTTAATGCACAAGAAAGGAAAATATTTATTGGCTGAAAGTCTTGTACACAAATGTTCATAGCAACTTTATCTGTAACAGGTAGAGACCAGAAACAGCCTGTGTGTCCCTCAAGTGGATGAATCAACAGATTGGAGCATTCACACACAGAATAACAGGGATAAGAAGGAACAATCTATTAACAGATAAAACAACATGGGTGGGTCTAACAAATACATTTCTGAATGAAAGAAAGCAGACACTCCAAAAATAGGCATTGGATGACTCCATTTATAGTCTAGGCAAAATGAATCTGTCTGGGTAGAAATCAGCAGCGGTTGCTGTGAGGGAGGGTTGGCTGATTGGAAAGGGGTGGAGTAAACGGGTTGTGAGGGAGATGCTGGTCTTGATACTAATGCATCAAGACTGCTGAGGGTACGCTTAGGGTCAGAGGATCTCATCGCTGTTCTACCCCAGTGAAGCCAAATTAGAAGGCCCAGCAGCAGGCGGATAGGGAGGTGGGAGGATGAGGTGACTTGAAGTGGGCAAGCCAGAGAAGGCCTCGGGAGAAGGCAGGTTGAAGAAAGTAAGGGAGAAAGGGAGGAACATTCTAGGCAGAGAGAACAGCAAGTGCAAAGGCCCTGAGGTGGGTATGTGACTACACTGGCCAAGGACTGTGGGAAAGCTGGTGTATTCGCCTTCAGGGCTGCTGTAGCAAGTGCTGCAGATGGATGGGGGCTTCAACAACAGAGATTTGTTTCCTTGCCGCTCTGGAGACCAGAGGGCTGAGATCCAGGTGTTGGTTTCTTCTGTCCCTAGACTGCACTTGGCCCTTTGTCTTCACAGGGCCTTCCTTTAGGGACTGTGTGTGTGTTTGTGTGTGTGTGTGTTCTAATCACTTCTAATAACCACACCAGTCAGACTGGATAGGGGCCTACCCTCATGGCCCCGTTTAAACATAATTACCTCTTTAAAGACCCTACCTCCAAAAGCAGTCACATCCCGAGGTAGGGGGTTAGGATTTCAACGTGTGAAGTTTAGTGGACACAGTTCCACCCGTAACAGCCAGTGTGAGCAGATGGGGACACAGCCAGGTGGCCTCGTGCTCGCCTTATCGCTGCCATGGGCGCCCAGAGCTGTGGTGAAGGTGTTGATCTGGGAGGAGGCAGGAGGGGAGGTTTGTGGGAGGGGTTGGATGGTGATGGTGGGGGCTGGAGTCACAATTCCTGTGATGGCTTTTCACTAATTCACGGCAGCAGAAAGCCAGGGGTTTTCTAATGGAGGGGCCGGACAGACACAGATTTTGCTTTCTGTGCAATAGAAGCCCAGGAGTCCGCTGCATTTGGCTGGACATGCTGATGGGGTTTGTCAGCCTTTGTCCACTCACTCCCATGTCCTGTCACCTTGGTCCTGCACCGGGACAGTAGTCCTGGCTGTCGGTGCTGGATTGCCACTGCAGCTGGCATTGGGGGCAGCTGTGGTTCGGGGCATGGCAGGTTCCAAAGTGAGGGCCCCATTGTGGCCGCTGAGTCTTCACAGCAATCCTCTTCTGCATGTGCCTGACCAAGACCGAAGGACCACAGGCTCTGGCAGGGCTTCTGGCCTTCCCTTGGTCCTGAGCTTTCCAGGCCTTGGAGGGGGAGCCGAAGTGGGGACCTTTAGGAAACAAACTCCTGGTGCTCTAAGAGGCAGGTGTCCTGGGGCCACCGCTAGTTCAATTAGAGGCCTGCAGAGGGAATAGGGGAGCACTTACTATGTGCTGGGCCCTGGGCTGGGTCCTCCTCATGGTCCTCCCTTCATTCTCCGCCCATCTGGGAGTTGGGTGTCATTATCCCCACGTAACCAATAAGAAAACCAAGATTCAGAAAGGGCAGGTACTCGCCCAAGGTCACGTAGGTACAGAATTGTGGCTCTGGTCTTTTTGGATGATAAACATGGTGCTTTCTCTGCTCTGGGTGCTTCCTTCCTCTGACATAAAAGTTCCTGGATACCCACCCCCATCCTCCAGCCCCATTTCACGCCTCTCCCACGAAAGCCCTGTGGATAGCTGTCCTAGGCTCACTGCCCTCAGTGTGGGCCAGGGGGAGCTAGTGAGGGGCCCAGAGAGAAACGAGATCCTCCGGCTCTTCCAGGCAGGCCCATTCATGGAACACGTCCATTTCACAGGCAGAGAGACTAAGGGAGGTGACTTGCTTGTGGTCCCAGAGTGTTTATGAGTTTTTCCAATGCAAAAGGGAGCTCTGAGCTCTAGAATCAGCACGTTTAGTGAGATAGTGTGTGTGTGTGTGTGTGTGTGTGTGTGTGTGTGTGTGTGTGTGTGTGTAAATGGGTAGGGGTACATGCGTAGTGGAAGAACAGTGAAACCTTCCTCCCCCTGTCCTATGTGACAGCTCAGCTCTGAGAGACGTGAGCCTGGGCCCTAGTAAAAGTCATGGCAGAGGCGAAGCTGCCCCTCAGCCTTGAAGAAGGATGAGGGAGGCGGGGAGGGGCTTTCAGGGAGGCTGGGCATCTAGTGGAGAACTCAGTCTGTGCCTGGAACAACAGCCCTGCATGCAGGCAGCTTCAGACAGCATCTCCTCCCCTCGCCCCTGCACCCTCTCCCCTTCTGACTCCCACACACATCCTCTCCCCTTCTCCTCGCTCCTGCACCCTCTCCCCTCCTCCAGGCTTTGTGCTGCCCTCCTTTGGCTGGTGGGACACCACCTCTATTGTTTTCTCTGAGATCCTTAGCTTTGCCAAGCCGTGCTCAGAAGACGCTATTGATTCCCTTTTATTTACTTATTTATGAGATTTCTCTGTGGGAAAAAAAAAAAAAAAGGTTTGTGCAGCGCTACTCCCAGCAATGAGAAGTTTTCTCCGCCCACAGTCTCCCTCCTGCTCACACTCCCAGACTCCTCTCCCATCTCCACACCCCGGGGCCGCGCCTCCTGCATGCAAGATGCAGGGACGGGCAGAGATGAAATGGTGCTATGAGGCCTATGCAGTGCCAGGTACATAGTAGGTGCTCCAAACCACCTGTGAGAGCGGTGGGGGAGGGAAGTGTTGGGTGAGCCGTGGCTGATGCCGGAGGGTTAGGGGACAGAGGACGGCCCACTCCTCTGTGAGCCGAGCCTGGGCCGGGCCCAGTGCTGGGCAGCAAGGCCCCTTCTCATCTAGTTCCCATAATAACTGTGAAAGGTGGATTTTATTACTTTTGTTCAGTGTAAAATTCAGAGAGGTTCGGCACCTTGCTCGAGGTTACCCAGCCCATGAACCCGAATTCACTTCCATGCTTCTGGATGCCAGGGCCCAGCTCTTCGTTGTCCAGTGTAGCCCCTCGGGGAACAACAAACCATGCAAGAGTCCACCCCAAGCTGAACCCTAGCAGGGCCCTTCCGTCCTCAGGATGCCCTCTGGGGCTCAGCATCTCGAGGATCCAAGTCTACTCTTGCCCACCCTCTTGTCTTGGAGAGGTGGGTGTGTGGGCATCTGTCCTTGGTCCTGAACACCCAGCAGTGGGCTTCAGGCATAGGTTTGGATTGGGTCTCTCCAGGCAGAGCTAGTGGGAATTCCAGGTGTCACTCAGGGCTCCCAGTTTGTTAGTTAAACCTGTGACACGTTGAGCCCTAACAGCCCTGTATGGGCTGATCTGTCTCGTTCTGACCCCCACACACATTTTCTCCCATGGATGCCACTGTCTGGAGCGCCTGTTCCCACCCCGGTGCACCTGACTGCCTCCTGGATGTCTCGGGAGCCCAGATCCAGGCTCTGCTCCCTTCTCGCACACTTGACTCACCTGCCTTGGCACCTCTCTCACTGAGCTGTGCCTGCTGGATTGTCGCCGTCTGGCTGTGAGCTGCTGGAGGGCAGGAGTCACATCTCATTGAGTTGGTCTCCCTGGGCTTGGGCACCAAACCCGGCACTAGAAGGACTAGAAGGACGGACAGACATCCCTGTTGCTCCCCTGCAGCCGGCAGTGGGTCCACGTGTTCATCCTGCAGCTTCGGGAGGCATGGCCTTTGCATTCACTGCGATGCTTCTCTTCCTCTGCTTGTCTGGCAGGAGTTCCCCTTGGCCATCCTCAGAGGCTGGGAGTGCTACTGTGCTTACCCCACCTCCCAGTTCAACCTGCGGGATCCCGTGGACAGCTCACTGTGTGGCCAGGAGCCTGAGGCACAGAAGCTGGTGGAGTACTGCGAGGTCTACCAGACGCCAGTGCAAGGTGAGCCCCACCCCAGAGGGGGGCAGGGCCTGAGGGTCCTCCTCCCCGTGCCTGCCTCTGCTGGTGGCATGTGGTCTGGGGGTTTGGAAATGCTGGCCATGGTGGAGTGTGCAGTCCTGGGGTAGGAAGGGCATCTGTGTAAAAGCCCCGGGGTCGTTGTGGATGGTCTCATCTTGGGATAATGGATGGAGGAGGCCTTCGCCATCTCTGGAGGCCGGACCAGGATGCAGGGCTCGGTTTGCAAAGCACCTAACCTTAATGTGAATCTCTCTGGGGAGGGAGGTAGTGTGAGGAAGAAAGGAAGAGCAGAGAGGCAGGGTCCAGAGAGACAGCAATGGCAAGGGGGCGGCATCGGGTGGCACGGGAGCTCAGGGCCACAAGGGCCTCAGAGGCCTCCTGAGGCAGCCCAGGACCTGGGATCCAGTAAGGTTCCTGGGTTGTAGGTGGGTAGCATCTGGTCTGTCTGGCTGACCCTAGGAGCTGGTGCAGGAAGAGCAGAGAGGGAGGGATGAGCCCCCTTACGGAGCCTGCTGTGACCCAGGACAGCCCAGGGCTTTGGGGCTTCCCCCTGAGGATTTCAGGCAGCCCTGTGTGTGTGTGTGTGTGTGTGTGTGTGTGTGTGTGTGTGTGTGTGTTTGGGGGGGGGGGGGGGTGGAGGAGATGGGGGGAGGAAGAGGAGGCTCAGAGAGGTCGCTTGCCTAAAATTAGTCCGGCAAGTTTGTTGTTGGCTGTACCTCAGGGTGTGGCATTGGTCCGCCCAGCTATGACCCCAGCCACCTCCCCTGGGGTTACCTGTGCTGTGCCAGTAGCTACGGCTTGGCTGTGGCCATGGACACAAAGCAGGGGCTGTGGGTCCACGGGTGCCAATTTGCACACACTCTTGCTTGGGCTCTGGGGCCTCGTGGTCCCTGGGGCTGTCTCTGGCCAGTCACGTGCAGGTGGCGAACCCCTCCCCTCCGTTCACACCTGTATTAAGCGGGAGTCTCGGGTCAGCAGTTTCTATCTAGGGGAGACTGGCGGTGAGTCTGAATCACCACGGGGGTGAGTGACCCTGAGATGACCTCTGGCTTTCAGACACTCGGTGCACCGACAGGAGGTTCCTGCCCACCAAGTCCAAAGTGTTCGTGGCTTTGTCCAGCTTCCCAGGCGCCGGGAACACCTGGGCTCGGCATCTCATCGAGCATGCCACCGGCTTCTATACCGGGAGCTACTACTTCGATGGGACTCTCTACAACAAAGGTGAGCAAAGGCAAAGAGTGGGGAGGCGGCCAGGCCGTCCCCTGGGAGTGGGCAGCAGTGCTTCTCCCATGCGTGTGTATGTCAGAACCTCCCTGAGGGCGTGGTAAATGCAGCAGATTACCGGGCCGTGCCTCTGAGTCTGGCTGGGTTGATCTGGGAACTGCTGTTTCTGGCAGGCTCCCGTGATGATGCAGGCCAGCTTCGGGCCACACTGCGAGTGACAGCTCATGGCTTTTTTTTTTTCAAAGGGAAAGCCTAGTAGCTTGGATTCCCACTCTAGAAACCTTTTCTGGATTTTGCTTATTTTTCAGAACCCTCAATAATTAAGTGAGATGGTATCTGCTAACTCCTTTTTTCTTTTTAGGCAGCTTATCAAAATGCTTATCAAAATGCTTTTTTGATAAGAGAGAGGAAGGGAAAGAGAGTGAGAGAGAAATAACGGTGTGAGAGAGAAGCATCTGTCAGTTGTCCTCCACAGACACCCTGACTGGGGACCCAACCATAACCCAGATGTGTGCCCTGGCCAGGAATTACCTGGCAGCCTTTTCAGTGCACAGGACGAAACTCAACCAACTGAGCCACCCCAGCGAGGCTCACAGTGCTATGTTTTAAAAATAGGTCTTAAAATCTTCAAGACTTCTATGCTTTAAAATCTTGCAGAGATGAGGGGCCTTATTAGGCTGCGTAAGTGAACTTAAATGGCTTAAGTCTGCGCTGTTTCAGAACCAAGAATCTCGAGTAAGTCCAGTGAAGTACATCTCTCTGTTGTCAAGTGTCACAACAACTAAGTTTCATCACTAGAGTTTAGTGTAGGAAAAGAGGGTGCTAGAGTAGCATTCTAGAGAAAACAGAAACTTGTGAGTTTGGCAGTGGGTTCTGGAATCATCCATAGCAACCTCAGTCTGGTTGGGACAAAGCCAAGGTTGTTCATATAACCTTTAGTCCTTGGGAGCCTTGGTTATGGGTACCTACAGTGAGAGGTCAGGTGAAGCACTTGGTCCTGCCCAGTCTGGTCTAGTCCCCTGGGAACCACCTACTGTGTACAGCAAGCATGTCAAACTCAAAGGCTAACACAGGCCAAATAAATGAGGCATGTGGCCCTTGGGCCTCGAGTTTAACATGCTTGGTGTACAAGCTGCAGTAACCTGCCTCATTCAACTAAAAGGCTTTCACCTGTCTCTGACAGCTGGCTCTTTGGGTCCACAAGTGGCTAAGTGGCCCAGTGGTTTGAACAGCCTTAGCATGGTTTTAGGGATACCCGGACATCTTGAAGCCTTACCGGACCAGTAGATGTAGCCACTGCCTCAGAGCACTCACAGAGCAATGACATGTGCAGATGGGAAATTCCCAAGGCAGCTTAAAGCCAAAATACCAACCCTGTCCTGGGTGAATGTGGTTGAGTTGTAAGGAAAAGTGGCCACTGTTGGCATAGGCAGAGGCAGTACGAAAGGCACCCTGGGTCCCTGAGCATCACCCTGAGCGTCAAAGGCTGCATCTCAGATTTACCCAGCCCAGAGCTGGACTCCCGCTTTCCCAGGAATGCCCAGCTGCTTGACAGAATGAATCAAAACAAAACTTGGCCCATGAAAGAGATGAGTTTGAATGTGGGAAGCTTCAATTCATGGGGAACCCAGAATTCCAGATTCAAAAGCAACTTGCAAATACAGATGTTTCCCAGCCAATCATGAAAGGGGTGAAGGCTTATTTATGTTTCAAAGAGCCCAAGGTAAGCTCACGCACATCTACCAGAATGTCCCCAGAGCTGGCTGCCAGAGCTACGCTGGGATGTGGTTGGGAAACAAGATTCAGAGGACATTTTCCTATGACATCCCACTGGACCTTCTAACTAGTCCCTACTAATCTTCATTCCCATAGCCTCTAGTCTCTGAGGTATACTTGGGCTATTTCCCTACTAAGCTTAAGGACAGGGTCTGAGTCTTGATTCCTGACATAAAGTTGGACTCAACATGAGCACACAATAGTGTTGATAGAAATGTGACTCTTTGTGTGGGCAGGTAGAGAGTGATCTTCTCAGCCAGAAGTGATTCTGGCTCAAACGCCCATGACTGGACCAAGGGACCCAGGAAGAAGGCAGGCCCCCAGCCCAGAGAGATTGTCCCAGGGGAGCAGGGCTCTGTTCACAGAAACTGGGCCCTGAGTTCTGCAGGGCCAGACTCAACCACTGTGGATGAGGCCTTGGCCATAGGGCCCCAGGTACAGACTCTCCATAGACACTAGGCTGGGGCCCTGTTACAGGACCACGGCGTGAGGTCAGAGGGAGGGGCAACTGCTGCTCACAGCCCTTGAGTGTACTGATGGGGATCCTGCTCCTGCTGTGGGGAGCTGGGTGGAAGTGGGGAGCTTCTTGGGGACACACACAGCCACATGGAGAGAGCCCTGGCTCTGTTGTCATGGTGCTGTGTGGTCCTGGGCAAGTCACACACCCACTCTGAACCTCAGTCACATCATCCAGTTATGCATGCAGCTACAGTAATGTTCATGTGAAATTGCCAAGAAAATACCCAAATGTGTGCGTCTCCAGCGTTTAGAGACAGGGCATGAGCAAGCCTTCTGATCTTGACTCCTGGGGTTCTGCAGGAGATGCCTTATCTCCTTTGTCTAGCAGATGCATCTTTTCTAACTCTTAGTCATCTCCTGCTGACTTGGGCAGGGTCAGTCCTATAGAGGCTGCTCCAGTCAACCGTCATAGGCCCTCCCAGTGCCCTCTGCTCGGCCCCTATTGCCAGCCTTCCCTCAGGCATGGAGGTGAGCATTAGGATCTGTCTGCCGCCTGGCAGTGTGGGTCCCACAATGCTTTCCTCCAAAGCGGCCCTCTCTTTCCCCCTCCCATGCCCCGGGCAGGGTTCAAGGGCGAGAAGGACCACTGGCGGAGCCGGCGCACCATCTGTGTGAAGACCCACGAGAGTGGCAGGAGAGAGATCGAGATGTTTGACTCAGCCATCCTGCTGATCCGGAACCCGTACAGGTCCCTGGTGGCCGAGTTCAACAGGAAGTGCGCCGGGCACCTGGGCTACGCAGCTGACCGCAACTGGAAGAGCAAAGGTAGAGAGGAGCCTGGGGGCGGGGCCTCACTGCAACGTTATTCACAGTCAGCCTGCCCACATGCTTACTGAAGTGTACTGTGTGCCAGGCACTGGGCAAGGCCGCGGGGGATGAGGGGGGCAGGGAAAGGGGTCAGGATCTCTGCCCTCAAGACACGCAGTCAGCTTTAGGCAGCGAATGGCAGAGGTGAGCAATACAAAGCCAAGTGTGTTCCTCCAAATTAAAGCTGCCTTCAGCAGGGTGGGGCATGATGAGATGCAGGGCTGTAGGCCAGGCAGGCTGTGCGTCTGTCCCTGCGTGGCTCTGGGTCAGCTGGGGCTGGCATGTGTCTCCCTTGCCCTTTCCCCATCACCCTTCACCTAGAGTCTAGGTGAATCATAATGTAAATATCTGTGTTTTCCGATGGTCTTAGGCTCTGTGTTTTCCGATGGTCTTAGGCTCTACAACTCTGCTAGCAGTTCTCAACCTGTGGGTCGTGACCCACAGGTTGAGAACTGCTAGCAGAGTTGCCTAAGACCATTGGAAAACACAGATATTTACATTATGATTCATAACAGTAGCAAAATTACAGTTATGAAGTAACAACGAAAATGATTTTATGGTTGAGGGTCACCACAACATAAGGAACTGTATTAAAGGGTCGCGGCATTAGGAAGGTTGAGAACCACTGCCTTAGAGTCACAGGGGGGCCAAGAGAGGAAGCCCGCAGGCACAGCATCTTCCTCTCATCGGAAGGCCCAGCAACTGCTCCACACACGCTGCCCCCCACTTCAGGTGTGCATTGTTGCCAGAGACAAGATCCAGGTGAAGGAAAGAGGGCGCTTCGATTCCCACCTGTCTTCAATGCTGCTGACATGCACTGTGTGCAGGCCAGCTCTCCCTGGCCAGGTGCAGTTGCTAAGGTCAAGAAACTCAAAGAGAGAGAGAGAGAGAGAGAGAGAGAGAGAGAGAGAGAGAGAGAGAGAGAGAGAGGGAGAGAGAGAGAGAAATATCAGTCGCTAAGGTCAAAAAACTCAGAGAGAGAGAGAGAAGAGAGAGAGAGAGAGAGAGAGAGAGAGAGAGAGAGAGAGAGAGAGAGCGCGAGAGCGCACTCACGCGCGCCAATGCATGGTCCCTGCAGTTCACATTTGTTTTAACTCGATGTGTTTGCTGGGAGGCAGGCAGACTCAAGGTCAGGTCTTCCCGGCTTAGGACTCCTCAGAGCGCAGCCTGATATTAACCTTTGTTCACACTGAGTCACCTTCCTCAGCCGGGGTTGAGGCAGGTTGGCCCTGGGCAGTGGGCAGCTGGGAAATCCCGGCAGCTTCCCTGGCCATCCAGGGGGACCAGCAGCCCTCCGGGCCGGGCCCAGACACGGCACCCCTCTTTCCCCCGCAGAGTGGCCGGACTTCGTCAACAGCTACGCCTCGTGGTGGTCCTCGCACGTGCTGGACTGGCTCAAGTACGGCAAGCGGCTGCTGGTGGTGCACTACGAGGAGCTGCGGCGCAGCCTGGTGCCCACGCTGCGGGAGATGGTGGCCTTCCTCAACGTGTCCGTGAGCGAGGAGCGGCTGCTCTGCGTGGAGAACAACAAGGAAGGCAGCTTCCGGCGCCACGGCCGGCGCCCGCACGACCCCGAGCCCTTCACCCCGGAGATGAAGGACTTGATCAACGGCTACATCCGGACAGTGGACAAGGCCCTGCGTGACCACAACTGGGCCGGGCTGCCCAGGGAGTACGTGCCCAGATGATAGGCTGCTGCTCTCCGCGCCCTGCTGAGAGCCAGCCGCCCCCAGGGCTGCCCCCGCTCAGATGCTCAGGTGGTGGCCTCGCTGGGACACGGGCTGCCCCGTGCCGACTCCCTGAGGTGCAGGGAGACCAGCCACAAGCCCTTAGCCCCCCCGGGCAGACACGATGCCACAGGTCAGACACACGCTCCTCGCTAGACACGCTTAGACACGCCACTCCACGCTACAGTGCCTGTTTTGACAAGCCCAAGTCACCATGCGGGGTGTGCCAGACACTCCCAGATTTGCCAGCACACAGTCTCCAGGCCACGTGTTCCCAGAGGCTCAGTCCTGTCTCTCGCAGACACACATGCATCTGGATTCTCAGAGGCTCCAGGTTTTCTGTTTTCAGCCCCTGGCATGGACTTGCTGGTCAGGGTTCTTGACTGCGGGGGCTGGGCTGGGCGGGCACTTGCTCTGAGGACCAAGGACTTGGGCATGGAGGTGGGCTCACGGACTATTGCTGCCGGGCCACGTGGCCCTGACATCTCATAAATGTGTGTGGTGTGACCACTGGGCACCACGAACTCTGCGGCCCTGCCTCCCGCTCTCTGTGGATGGGCTGGTGGCACCGTGGGCAGAGTAGAGCACCCCTAAGCCTCATGCCAACCTCAGGACCCACCACAACTCCTTTGCACCCCCTGCCACTCCTCCAACATGAGTGTTCCTTGGAGGGGGCCTCCTTGTCTGGCTTCTTTCTCCGCCTGTCCCCGGGGAAGCCGGGCATTCACCCCATGCCTCACATACAGGGTATGAGAGTGAGGGGTCGGTGCGGTGGGGAGGGGGCTAGGCCTCAGGGAGTCCTGGACCTGAGTGCCCCATATGCCATTAGGATCGGGGTTGTGTGGACATGGGGAAACCCAGGAAGTATGTCTTGGGGTCACTGTGACTGGTGGCCCTGCCCATCTTGACAGATCCCTGCTCTTCAAGGGATCCTGCCCTTGGCTCATGTGAAGGGGGTGCTGCATGGTCCATCAGCAACACAACCCTGGACCCTTTGGGGAGAGGCCATAGCCACAGCTTCTGCCCGACCCCCAGTGGCCATGGCTGAGCCCTCTCTGTCCCTCTGACTCACCCACCACTTCTGATCACCAGTCTCTGCCACACTTCTGTCTCTGTTTCTGCTCTGCTGCCATCTTTCCCACTTGTTCATTCATTTCCTCAACAAAAGGGGGAGGGCACTCCCAGCTGCTGACACCTGCTGTGTGCTGGCCTCCAGGGGAAGACCTGTGGGTAAGCCCCCCCCCCCCCCCAGCTCAGTCTAGCAGGCCCGGGGGAGGGGTCGTCCCACGTGGAGTGAGAAGCCCAGTAGCAGGAGCATGTGTGCTGAGCAGCTCCCAGTGCTTGGCTCCTGTCCCTGGGGTCTTCAGGGAATGCACCACAGCAACTTTGACCTGGTCTCCAGAAACCTGTGGGGATGATCCCAGCAGAGCAGAGGGGGCGGGTGATGAAGGCAAAGAGAACAGCATGGCAAAGGCTCAGAGGCTTGAAAACACTGGTGAATGAGGTGTGTCTCTCCAAGTCTGCAGCAGAAGGAGGGAAGCAGGTGGGTGAGGACAGAGGTGGGGACACAGAAAAGGACTCTGTCCTCACAGCTGCTTAGTGTTCAGACTGAGCAGGGAGAAGATGCTGATGCTCACTACCTTCACCTGACTTCCTCTCAGCCTGAGCTAAGCTGCATCACGGGGAGAAAAACGGGGCAAGTGTTTTGGAAAAGCTGGGCATGTGAATGGCCTGGCCCATGGAGGGGAAGGAGAAGGGTGAGCTAAGAGCCATCCCTAGGAAAGGCAGGCAGGGCCGGAGGGCCCAGTGGAGCCACCCTTCCTCAGAGGGAGGCTCCCCAGCCTTCTGCTTTGCCAACGACTGAGCTTGAGCATTTGTGCCTGGTGGCCGCCATGTTCCTCCTGAGGTTCCCCCAAACCCACCCTGATGCTAACTAAGGCTGTTGTAGGCCCCCCCCCCACACACACATACACACAGCACCATCTGGCTCAGCTCAGAGCTGGGAACACCAGGGGTTTTGTAAACGTTATTGCTCAGCCTGGGCTCCATGGTCAAGTCTGTGAAGGCCTATGATGAGGCTGTCTCCCGAGTTCTAGGAGCAGTTGAAACTCACCAGTGGGAAGAGGGCCAGGGGACACCTTCATCTCAGAGCAAACCTAGAGTCTCAAAGGAGACAGCAGCACCAGCTGATGGAGAAGAGGGAAGCTGACATCCTCCCGAGACTGGCTCTATGGCTGTGGCTCTCACTTCCTAGCCACCCAGACGGTCTTCAGGAAGAAGACTCAGAAGCTGGAGAGGCAGCCGTGTGGCTGGAGAGGGGAGCAGGACCACTGCTGAGGCACAGCCCCCTGAACGTCCCCCTTCCCCACCCCAGGAGTCAAGAGAGCAACAGCACAGCCCATTCCTCCTGATGGATGGGTGGGTGCATTCCCTGCAACCAGGTTCCCAGAGACCTCTCCTTCATGGTGGAGAGTTAGCTGCTCAAATGGCCTTGTAGCCTGCTTGCACCTTGGCCAGGCATGCAGGTGAGGAGAATGAAGGGGACAGGGTGCATCCAGGTCAGGACGAATCACCTCCCATGGGAAGGCACCTGACACTAGCAGGTGCTTCTGGATGTTGGATGAGCAAGGAGGTGCAAAGGCCCTACCTGCTTCTGGCTCCCAGAAGCTGTATCCCTGGGCCTGGTTCTGAGGGAGAGCACAGGAAGGGGGATCTGTCTGTCCTCTTGAGAAAGTCTGTTTATATCCAAGTTGGGTCTTGTCTATAGCTCATAGCTTCACCATAAAGAGGATACTGTCCCCACCAGCCAAGGAGTAAAAGCAGACCTGTATTCAGGAGAGGCGAGTGGTAAATGCATCAGGAACCTTTGAACAGTGACACCCAACTGTCTACAGATTCCAACTTTAACAGCCAGGCTACGGAGTGACACAAACCTGTGCTAAAACATGTAATTTTCATGGATTTCATCTCCTGTTGTGGATCAATTTAGAAACACCAAAATATATAATTTTAAGAAGCTAAATCACATTCTGATAATCCTAGTGATGTGAAAATGAGAGAAAAGAATAGACAGGCTTCCAAACCCTGGGAAGAAAGCTGCTTAATTATGTGAGCATCTTGTAAATGAAGTCTCTTGCAGCTAAAATTAGATTTGGAGTACATGAATATGCAGTAATGTTTGCACACCAGAATGCATTTTTTTCTCTTAAAAGTAGCTGGTACTTAGGGGGCCCTAAGAGGAGAGATGAAAATGTTGGGGTTGATCTTTGTGGCTACATAGGTTTGTTTTCTTCTGAAAACCTAGAAATGCATTGGAGGTGTTTGAAATGTGATGCCTCCGGTTCATTCAGGCTAGGGAGAAATTGATTGGTCAAAACCCTCACTGATCACTATGCAGTAGTGGGCAAGTTGGCTTGAGCAAGTAGAGTAGAGTAGAAACAAAACAGGGTCTTCAGATTTGGAGGATTGGGGTGTATCCCAAGCTCTGCTCTGCTATGATCTTGGGGAGGCCTTTTCCCTCTCTGGTCTCAGTTTTCCACCCATAAAATGAGGAATATGGTGGATGTTATTGATTGCATCCCCAATGTCCCTTTCCCATTTCCTTTCCCAGGAGACCCTGATTTCTGTTTTGGGGATTTTATGATCTATCTGGCTGGGCTGGCTTGACTATCACTTCCAGGTATGAATGCATGACCTAAACTAAGCCATCATCACATTTCAGCTCTCTGGCTACAGTGATTGGTTCTGGTATGGCTATGTGAGCAAAGTATCCAGAGGGTATTTCAAGACTTTTTCTGGGAATGTTGGGTAGAAGCTATTTTTATCCACCATGCTGGATGTGCAAAAGGAAGTAGGTAGTCTTGAGTCTTGATGGGGGCTGTCTTGGGACCATGAAGGAGGACCACTCTCAGCCTGAAGTCGTCACTACTGAAGGGAGAGTCCAGAGGCAGAAGAAGCCAGGTCCTTGGTGATATTGTGTAAGTATAGGATCAAGCTTTACCTGCGATTGGCTCCATCTCTGGACAGTTTTGTTCCATGAGCCAATAAATTACCTTTATTGTTTAAATTGGGCTGAGTTGGGCTTTTGTTACATCCCTGGGCCATATCCACACTGCTTTGAATGAAAGGCTCTGGCGTCCAGACATTCTCTGTTTCTGGCTGATAGATAAAGAGCAAAACTCAGACCAGTGTGAGCTGGTAGAATTAGAAAGTTGCTTTTTACAGGAACAGATCTGGGTGTGAAATGTTCAATAGAAGCCTATGCTTAGTCAGCCAGGACAAGAAGCATTTTTAAGTCAGTATGCAGTGAAATCACCTATATATCCTGAGAAAAGTATCCCTTGTTTATCCATCCCAAACCAGAAATTAATCCTTAAACAACACTTGGTTATCATCTCTACTTGACAGATGGGAAGGCTAGGACACCAACTTTAATTATTGTAATGTATGGCCCTATTGTATTTACCACAACTCTTTTCATGAAGAATATGATGTGATCTTAGAAGGGATGCTTTGATATGAAATTTGAATTGAAGATGTGACCTCCTTCAAGAGACATTTTTAGTAATAGCTGATTGGCAGTAAACTGCCTTAAAAGGGGAGTAGGTATGGTAAGTCACAGTTTTGGTTTGCTGAGTGAGATATGCAAGCTTGGGGCAGAGCAGAATCGCTGCCATTGGAGGTAAGGTGAGTGATGAAACTGAGAGTTCCCCTCATCCATCCTCCCCTCCTTAATTCTACTGTGTGATAAATATTAGAGGGACAGAGGGAGTTATAGCCCCTATCTTCAAACTTTCCTTGGAATGTCTGACTCTAATGCAATATGCAGAATGAAGGTCTATACTATAGGTAGACAAAGCCAAGAATCCCAGGAAATGGATGTGAGTATATTTTCCTCTGCCATGGGAAATATAAGCAGGTCCATCCTAAGGAACACAAACAATTGCTTATGTCGAATAAGA